TTTTCATCGACAGATTATATTTTCATAATCTGGATGTTGTCCTGTATGCCACCCTCTTCGTCACATTTAGCCGATTTTCTTATCCATACATTAGTGGTCACGTTTCATATACATAGCTCATTATCTTTAACACAGTTCAGGGCTCTTTTTATTCGACTAAATTATTTGGCTGTGTTCTTTTTCTCTGTTTAAATAAATAAGTAATTTAGGTGAACTTAATGAAAAGAAAAAACGGCTAGCGGTTGTGAAGCAAAATTTGGAATCACCACAGTACGTATCGTCAAAAGAGCAGTTGAAAAAGGAAGTGGTGAAGAAATGTGTTACTACAAAAGCTACAAAGGTGAAATTCTTCAGTTTGAGGCCTATTTCTTTACAAATACTGAAATACGTATACGTTTATACATCTTATTTTGCAAGGGCTAACTGCTACTTTGTTAACAAGCTGCCTAGGCTACGCCTAAGCGTCTCAGCTTCTCGTATAGAATGAATATTGAAATGGTTTTGATGCTGGATTTATTAAGGATTTGGCAACTTACATACGTGTTATGGATGAATCTGTTGTAAAATTTCATACGGAAAAAATGGAGGAAGTCAATGAAATCCTAGGCGCATTATGGGAGCACGTATATCATGGCAGTGATATTGAAACCATACGAATTAAGTATGCCTTACACACTCTTTTGTTTTAGAAGATTACAAGCTTAAGCTCCCTGGAAAATGTCTTCGAAAATAAGTATTGCAGTTTGGGAAGTAGCCCTTCATAGGTTTTCTTTGCTGCAATTTTGTATCGTCTTCTTTCAAGGTCAGAGAGTATAGATGAAATGGAAAAGAAGAGGTCATATAACTATCGTGTGGTTATGTCTGTTCATGGCGCTGAAATTGATATGCCGGGAAGATGCAGTGCTGGACAGAAGGCAGGCTTATTTTTTTTCTTTTTTTTTTTGATAAAGTTGGGGCAGTTTTGTGCATCAGGACGAAACTTTGCGCAGTCTTGCCTTAGATAGGAAAATATTTTAAAGTTGGAAGAAGACAGAAGCAAATAATGTTAAGGAATTAATAAAAGTAAAATTATTTTAATAAAATTATTATAATGGTAAAAAATGTTTCCGTCCATTAACTCGTATACATTTCTTACCGTTACCAAAATTGAACCTCCCTCATCAGTACGACGATTGTGTCTTTGCACGTGTTGTTCTTGCGAACTCCTTGTTGTGTTTTACCCCCAGCTTACTTCCTTCATGTGCTGATCACCATGGGTTGAAGGAAGTGCGTGACGGTTTGCGATGTCTCATTTAAAAGGACGAGAAAAAAAGGCGGCATAAATACGGACGCCGCAATCGGTGAAAGATTAAATCTTAGGTTAAGCAAGCAAGTCTGCGCACAGCAACTTCGGGAAGGTTGCCAGTTGCATAGGTTAAGACATCAGATTTGCAGTGAACTTCCTGGAAATCTTTGTTTTCTAGATGCTTGCCTCGATACTAATTCGAATTGCATTGGCGGACGTTTTTTGCGATAGTTGTTCGATTATTGCGCTGGATGAGCCGACAACCAATCTGGATGTGTTGAAGGTCATTTTAGTCCCTAGTGCTAACACTTACGCAATTATTAGGATAAGTGTTATAGAAATTTTACAAATAATGAATATCCCTGGGCTAGGAGATTGGAAGAGAAGGAGAAAG